TCGCTAGTTTAGCACCTGAACGAAACTGGAGAAATCAGTTACATTATCTAGCATTTTATCTCACTTGAAACTAAAGTGATTTCATTTTTCACTTCACAAGATTTAATTATTGCATTTGGCATATTAGAGAGATCTCTGACATTTTTTGCACCTAATTTATCCCAACATTTATTTCTAAACTCTCTAAGACAATGTTAAGTAGCAACATAAAGTGTCAAATTATTACCTGGGCTACCAATTTCCCCCTCATGTGTCCGACACAACTGACACATTTTAAGTAACCAATTGGACAGGTCACACCTACTAGAAGCAAGACAAGTGAGGGTCGAAACTCAAACGTTATGCTTCAGAACTAAGGGTATTTTCCTGTAAACAAGTTTGAGAACCCTCGTGTAAGGTGAAGAAGACGATTGTGTTTAGAGTTGTTAAGAAGAGATTTTGAAACTATTGAATGTTGACTGAAACGAATGCGTAAACGTATATACATTTGATAATCTATAAATCTATTTTCATTAATCAACTGTTGAGTATCAAGGTTTTGTAAAAATCCTAACAGGGATTTCTAGGGAAAATTTCATTTCATGAAACTATTTTTGTGAATCAAATATTCGCCCATTCGAAAAAGTGCCCATGGAGGGACTTTCGGAAAGCGCCTGAAAACTTCACCATATTTTCCCTATAATCTCTCAGGTATAGGGATGTTAATCAATGATCTCCAAGATTTCTTTAAACAACTGATAAGATGGGCCTATAAGTCGACGACATTTGATGACTCTGTGGTAAGTGCTTGACTCAATATATTTCACTTATATTTGTTGTCGTACTGAATGTCAATCTAATACCAATGTAGAGAGCTCGGTTTTCACCAACTAATATCCAGAGATTGACGGGAATCCTCTGCAGTGTAAGTGGGATGCTATCATCTGCTGGTTTCTTCTTCTTCACTCTTGGCCATTCCTCAGGCATTTGGATACTTTATCTCATGTTCTTTGATCCAAGTAACTTCCTTGGCTATTCCTACTTAATAGTGTTAAGTAGAAGTAATCCAACAACTTTTCCATTTCAGTTTATCTACCTGTTTCACTTGTGCTTTTCTACTGCACTTATCAAATATCAATTTGGGTGAAAAAACATTAAATCATTCGAAAAGCGTGAATGCCAAGTAGTCGATTATGGTATTTTGTCATGGAGATCACTGAAAACAAATTAAGGTTCTTTCGTGAAGTAAATCTCTACAGTACCAGGTAGTTCCATGTAATTAGAAAATCGATATCATGAAAATGGGAAAAATCTAACTGTCTCAGTATAAACTTTCAGCCAATTAGCACTAAATAGGGAAGAGCATCTTAGTCTGTTAGCTTCTGTATTACGTCACCAAATCCAATGAAATCGATTTTCTAAATTCATGCCATGTAGGTGGCCCTTATGACAGTCAAAGTTTATAATGTGTGATAGTAAAATGAGGTTCAAGCAAATTGAGGCTTATCTATTCATAAATCTTTTTACAAATTACGTGAAATTTAGTGCATGAGAACCAGGGTGGGTTGAATTAATTGTGCTTTTTATGGAATAATGTGGCAAAACTTCTATGACATAAATTGAACCTATAAGACATATGTGAACTATAATTGGAATAAGGTCATCGTATGGTGTTGGCTTATAATAGATAAGAATTTACTTCTGTCAGAAATTTTAGGATTACTGAAGAATATTTACCATCGTTTGCCACACTTTGGAGCGCATTGACAGACTTATTGGATTAGCATTGTAGTGCTGGTGAATATTCAAATTCATATTAATTTGTATTAATTTGATATTTCCTTATTATAAAATTCAAAATGAAATTCCGACTTGCAAAAATTCAGAGAGCAGTGGGGATCCCCTAGGAATACGACAAGTAAAATACTGAACTATGAAGGTACTTCGTCTTAAGTGTTACTCAACCGTTTGGTTAAAAAGAGGTGTGATATTCGATTCAAAGCAGTAGAATGGGCAATTAGAGCTAGACACAAGTGGGGCTTTTAGGTCTCCCCATTATGTACCATCAATAATCGGCTTACATAAATCCATCATGGTTTAACAGTCAAATATCTCATCCCACGAAGTTGCAACATTCATTGTATTGTGCCAAGTCAGGCGGCTGGGAAGTGATTGAATACATTTAAACAAATAGGAAAACAGTGTTGTGTCTCGTGAATTCGTTCTCACGGTTTTAATAAAATAAGCATACAAAGTTATTATCAAATTTATTAATAACCGCTCACTACACATTTATTTCCCCTTGTCTGCAATAGACAAAGTGTACTAATAACAGTCGATATGAAGTGAGAATAGACTAGAAGAGATATATTGATATTTAGTGACTGTGGCTACTGTTAGTGCAGTGGAAGGCAGCCATATAATCAACTGATGTGGTTCAATTAGATTGGAATAGAAGATGAATAATTCGGGTAAGACGACTATGAACTTTCGATTAAGTTTCATAGTTCAGGCTAGCTCAGAGTGAAAAATGTTGAGATGTTTGCCGAAATACTGATATTGAAATTTGAACGCTTTCTTAAACTTTGGTGAACAATTTCATGGAATAACTTTCTATATTTAGATGACCATTTTANAATAACCGCTCACTACACATTTATTTCCCCTTGTCTGCAATAGACAAAGTGTACTAATAGCAGTCGATATGAAGTGAGAATAGACTAGAAGAGATATATGGATATTTAGTGACTGTGGTTACTGTTAGTGCAGTGGAAGGCAGCCATATAATCAACTGATGTGGTTCAATTAGATTGGAATAGAAGATGAATAATTCGGGTAAGACGACTATGAACTTTCGATTAAGTTTCATAGTTCAGGCTAGCTCAGAGTGAAAAATGTTGAGATGTTTGCCGAAATACTGATATTGAAATTTGAACGCTTTCTTAAACTTTGGTGAACAATTTCATGGAATAACTTTCTATATTTAGATGACCATTTTAATTGATGGAAATTATAATAATTACTTCTCCTCTGCCATACCCTGCTGGGTTATTTTATTCTTCCTCTATTTCAGACACTTGCAAAATTTATGCCACATCATTGAAAAGAGTCATTAATTATGATAACGACCAACAGTCTGCTTCGTTCAGCAGTCATCAAGGTTTGCAAATCGTAAACAGTAAGAGGCTTGAGAAGTCAATATACAGATCCTTCATTTGGACACAGTGACGGGAAGTGCAACTAATACAAAACCTGATAAGATAAGATAGAGAGAGATACACATTTTTTGAATATTCCAAAATGTGTTTTCGCTTGATAGTGATTTTACTTATGACACAATATTTAAAAACCATTTTCAAAAATTCAAGTTTAAAAACGGCTGTCAGGCTCCATTGGAAGCCTCTCTAGTTTAACACTTTAACAGAACTGGAGAAATCAGTTACATTATTTAGCATTTTAAGCCACTTGAAACTAAAGTGATTTCATCTTTCTCTTCACTAGATTTAATTATTGCATTTGCATTTCCTAAACACTCTAAGACAATGTTAAGTAGCAACATCAAGTGTCAAATTATTACCTGGGCTTCCAATTTTCCACCACGTGTCCGACACAACTGACACTTTAAGCGAACAATTGGACAGGTCACACCTACTAGAAGCAAGACAAGTGAGGGTCGAAACTCAAACGTTATGCTTCAGAAATAAGGGTATTTTCCTGTAAACAAGTTTGAGAACCCTCGTGTAAGGTGAAGAAGACGATTGTGTTTAGAGTTGTTAAGAAGAGATTTTGAAACTATTGAATATTGACTGAAACGAATGCGTAAACGTATATACATTTGATAATCTATAAATCTATTTTCATTAATCAACTGTTAAGTATCAAGGTTTTGTAAAAATCCTAACAGGGATTTCAAGGGAAAATTTCATTTCATGAAACTATTTTTGTGAATCAAATATTCGTCGATTCGAAAAGTGAGGTGAGTACCGTGAAAGTAGTCGAATATGACATACAGTGGGGTGATGGTAGTTTGGAGTCAGAAGTCAACTGCCGGTTTATAGACTTTTTTGCCGTATGAGTATACGTTGCCCAGGGTGCACCACGAGGAGGTAGGTCTATATATATATATATAATGCACACAAGTACCTTCGAGATTGACTAAGTCTAGTGTTAAGTTATTTGAACGAACTCTACACTGGAGTTGCTTTTTGAAATTTAAAAATGCTGACGCAAGTATAATAACTAATTTTCGCTTAACTGAGTGATTACAAAGCCAATTAATGTACAAATGACATTTCTCTTTATATTTTTCGTCTTACTTTGCAGCAATTATCCACTTTAATCAAAATTTTTAACACTTAAAGAGAACAGTAAAATATATATAACTTTTTATCTTCCTTCTGTCTTTAAGACTCAGAATCAATGTGAGTTTCCAAATGACACTGAACAGTTGACAGCAATCTAACAAAAACAAACATTATATCATGTGCATGTAAAACCTTGAACAATAACAATAACACCGATTTTTTTCAACATTCGAAATAGCTAAATTGAGCAAATGTCGCAGAAAAGTCCTTAAGTACAAGTGCACTTTTCAGCTCAATCTACCAATGAATTCTATTCTATAAACTATATAACCGAATTTTAGAGAGAGACTAGAAATTAACATGGAATCTGGCTTTAATATTTAGGGTGACCAAACTTTTCTATAAGGTCCCTTGAAAGATGCACTCACCTCAATAGTTTCTTGGGAAAAATCTCTATCTCTTCATTTTCCTCACTATCGAATTTCACCGTATCGATTCCTGACGGTTCAGCAACATTGGCAAGAAGGCCTTCTTGACTTTTTCGTTGACGGTACAGCCTTGCGAAAGCATAATTTTCCTCGGTCTTGCGGAAGCAATTGGGCTTTCGATAGACGATGGCTTGCAATGTCATCGTAGCTCCCAACATCTGACTGAATCCGAGGAAGAGAAAGGCAATTCGGTATCCACCTGTGCCGTCCTTGAGTATTCCTGAGGACAGAACAACAGAAATGGACCATTTCATATGAAAGCCTTGGTAGGGGTTTAGTCCTTGAAATAAACTATCAAGTTTGAATATCATGTTTCAAGGTTATCGGGCGATACAAGCACTAAAATGGTGAATCATGTAATTAATCCCAATGAATAGTGAGGGACTAAGGAGAAGCTTAAATATTGGAACCTTTCTTGGAAACAAAATAATTCCATATATTGGCTTCTCAGCAAGGTAATCATTACGATACGATCCTTTGTTCTACTTTTTTTATATTACGAGACCTGGGGTGTGCGATAGACTTACCTCCACGTGGTGCA